TTGCCTCAGCCTACAGAGAGCTGGGATTACAGACATGAGCTACCGTGCCCTGCCTGATTCTGTTTTTTAATTAAAAGAAGTGGCCAAGTCACACTACCACCTCAAACATAGCCTATGTCCTGGGCTCTGCACAATTTTGTGAGTCCGCCAAATTCACAAATATCTGTGAATTGCAGGCTATCAGACACAAATGGAGGACCCATAATGCCCATTCCCCAGGAACTTACATAGAGGACTAAGGCAGACAGGCCGCTGTCCAAAGCTAATTTCGCTACCTGCTTGTAAAGAAAGGGCCCAGGGGAACGCAGAGCCCAGCACTCTCAATGGCTTGGGGTGTGATTTTATATTAGTTTCCTGGGGCTGTTGTAACAAAGTACCATATCTATGATACTTGTTATTGTCTCAGTTATTGTCTCCCGTTCTGGAGTCTGGAAGTCTAAGATCAAGGTGACACTAGGGTTAGTTTCTTTTGGGGGCTATGAAGGAAAATCCGTTCCGTGCCTCTCACCCTGTTGCTGGTGGCTTGCTGACAATCTTTGGGGTTCTTTGGCTTGTGGAGCATCAAGCTGATCTCTGCCCTCATCATCGTCATCATCATCATCATCTTCTTCTCTTTCTTTTTTTTTTAAGATAGAGTTTTGCTCTTGTTGTCCAGGCTGGATGCAATGGCGCAATCTTGACTCACCACAACCTCCGCCTCCCAGGATCAAGCGATTCTCCCATCTCAGCCTCCCAAGGAGCTGGGATTACAGGCATTTGCCACCATGCCAAGCTAATTTTGTATTTTCAGTACAGACAGGGTTTCCCCATGTTGGTCAGGTTTGTCTCGAACTCCTGACCTCAGTAGAGCCGCCTGTGTTGGCCTCCCAAAGTGCTGGGATTACAGGTGTCAACCACTGCGCCTGGCCTCTTTCTTTTTTTGTTTTTTTTTTTTTGAGACGGAGTCTCGCTGTGTCACCTAGCCTGGAGTGCAGTGGCACTGTCTCTGCTCACTGCAATATCTGCCTCCTGGGTTCAAGTGATTCTCCTGCCTCAGCCTCCCTAGTAGCTGGGATTACAGGCACCTGCCATCATGCCCAGCTAATTTTTTTTTTAGTAGAGACAAGGTTTCACCTTGTTGGCCAGACTGATCTCCAACTCCTGACCTCAACTGATCCGCCCACCTCAGCCTCCCAAAGTGCTGGGATTACAGGCATGAGCCACTGCGCCCAGCCCTGCCCTCATCTTCATGTGGTCTTCTCTCTGTGTGCATATGTCTCCAAACGCCCCCTCTTTATAAGGACACCAGTGATACTGGATTAGGAGCCACCTTATTCCGGCATGACCTCCTCTTAACTCATTGCATCTACAACCCACTATTTCCAAATGAGGTCACATTCTGATGTACTGGGGGTGAGGTCTTCAACATGTGAATACTGGGGAAACACAATTCAACTCACGGCAGATGCGTTCTAGAGAAGTGACAAAATACATGGGTCTTGAAGGACAGTGGCATTCTTTTTTTTTTTTTTCAAGACAGAGTTTTGCTCTGTCACCCATGCTGGAGTGCAGTGGTGCGATCTTGGCTCACTGCAACCTTTGCCTCCCAGGTTCAAGCGATTCTTCTGTCCTCAGCCTCCCAAGTAGCTGGGACTTTAGGTGCACGCCACCACGCCCGGCTAATTTTTTTTATTTTTTTATTTTTTAGTAGAGTCGGGGTTGCATCATGTTAGCCAGGATGGTCTCGATCTTCTGACCTCATGATCCACCCACCTCAACCTCCCAAAGTGCTGGGATTACAGGCGAGAGCCACCGTGCCCGGCCTGGATGTGGCATTTCAAAAGCAAAGCCTAGGAGAAGGGCCCTTGTAAGTAGATGCAGGAGGCAAGAGACAGAGGCAGTTAATAGAATACAGTCGCAGAGCTGCCTGCACACTGATATTCACTTTATCCCGGAACTACTTACTGAGCACTTCCTAGGGGTCAGGCAACATATTGGGAGCTAGGGTACAATGTCAAACACAGTTCCCAACTTCCTGGAGCTTACCGTCTAGTGGGAGAGTGAGTGGAAAAAACAGATTATTTATCTTCTGCTCTCACACCATAACAATCAACACAGAAGAATTCTGTGACCCGATGTGTGGGGCTTTGTCCCCACCAGCAAGCAAGCAATCAGCCCTGCAGTGGACACCAGTTGGGTGTCCTCCAACTCAGTTCCAACACTAGCTACCCGGAGACAGCATCAGATCCCACAGATTGAGGGCTCAGTTTGCAAGACTGCTCTCCGTCCCCCCTGCCATGTCAGATTCCAGTTGCAAGCTCCAGGTTGTTTTACCTACTGGCTGTTTTACCTACATTGGGATTCCCATGACACCCTCCTTGGGTGCAATTAATTTGCTAAAACAGCTCCAGAACTCAGGGAAACACGTCTACCGGTTTATTATAAAGGATATTACAAAGAATACAGAAGAAGAGATACATAGGGTGAGGCATGTGTGAAGGGGCTCTGAGCTTCCATGCCCCCTTCGGATGTACCACCCTCCAGGAACCTCCACATGTGCAGCTATCCGGAAGCTCCCCAAACCCTGTCCTTTTGGGTTTTTGTGGAGGCTTCTTTATGTAGGCATGATTAATTAAACCATTGGCCATTGGTGATCAACTTAATCTTCAACCCCTCTCCCCTCCCCAGAGGACGAGGGTAGGGCAGAAAGTCCCAACCCTCTAATTTTGTCTTAGTCTTTCTGGTGACCAGTCCCCATCCCAAAGCTGCATAGGGGCTGCCAGACATCAGTGATCTCATTAGCATACAAAAAATATCATCCCTTTGGAGAGTCCAAGGATTTCGGGAGTTGTATGCCAGGAGATGAGGAGAACACCAAATATATATTTCACCAAAGCACAGGGAGAAGATCCCAGAAGACACTGGGTTTGAGGACAAGGGCAAGAAGCAGAAATGAAACAGTAACACCTTTTTCCTTAATCCTACAGATGGGAATGGCAGCGTGATGGCTGGAGCTCAGGTAGCCACATCATGCTTAGGATGCTGGAACAATAAAAGAACACCAGGCCCCCGACATGGAGTGCATATCAGCCATATACATCCTCCAGTGGAAGAAATCAGCATCTCTCAACTATTATTATAGGCCTTCTATGTCACATAACCAACCCTAGTACTAACTGATACAGCGGACATATGCACACAGGGAGATCACAAGTTAAGTTGAGAACAAGTCATAGAAAAAAACAAAAACGAAAGTGAAGAGAATAATGATCAGATCTACCCTTCAATTGGGATCTGAGTTCAAATCAGTTTCTTCCTCTGTAAACTGGAATAAGAATAATGCCTACCCTATAGGATTGCTGTGAGGTTTAAATGAGATCATATGGGACAGTGGCTCATGCCTGTAATCCCAACATTTTGGGAGACCGAGGTTGGAGTACTGCTTGAAGCCAAGAGTTTAAGACCTGCCTGCGCAACATGAGGTGACACTGTCTCTACAGATAATTTAAAAAAAAAAATTAGCCTGGCATGGTGGCGTGCAATTATGGTCCCAGTTACTCAGGAGCCTGAGGCAGGAGGATCACTTGAGCTTGGGAGGTGGAGGCTGCAGTGAGCAGTGATCAGCGATCATGCCACTGCACTCCAGGCTGGATGACAGAGCAAGACTCTGTCTCAAAACAAACAAACAAAGAAAAGCATAGAATAAAAGAATAGGGTTACAGGGCCAGCCACAGTGGCTCACGCCTGTAATTCCAGCACTTTGGGAGGCTGAGGCAGGAGAATTGCATGAACCTGGGAGGCGGAGATTGAAGTGAGCCAAGATCTTGCCATTGCATTACAGCCCAGGCGACAGTGTGAGATTCTATTTCAAAAAAAAAAAAAAAAGGAGAAAAAGGAAAGAATAGGGTTACAGAAGAAGCCAATTATATTGAAATGCAGTTGTCAAAATAATAAAAAACAGCTGGGCACGGTGACCAAGCCTGGAATTCCAGCACTTTGGGAGGCGGAGGTGGGCGGATAACCTGAGGTCAGGAGTTTGAGACCAGTCTGGCCAACATGGCGAAACCCCATCTCTACTAAAAATACAAAAATTAGGCAGGCATGGTGGCATATGCCTGTAATCCCAGTTACTCAGGAGGCCGAGGCAGGAGAATGATTTGTACCCAGTAGGCGGAGGTTGCCATGAGCCGAGATTGCGCCACTGCACTCCAACCTGGGCGACAGAGCGAAACTCCATCTCAAAAAAATCCAAAGAAAGAAAACAAAAACAATAACAAAAAAAGAAGTGAAAAACCACATATCTGTGATGTAATCATTGTGACCACAAAATCTTTGACACTTCTCCCATTGAGAGGTGAGTGAGAGGAGAGGTGTCCCGTCTCCTTATATCTAGGCTGACCTTAGTAAGAGATTTACTTGACCAATAGAACATGGCAGAAAAGTGATATTCTGGAGCTTCAAAAGCTAGGTCAGAAGACACCTTGTAGCTTCTTCCTTGTTTGCTAGAGCACTCTTCTGAGGACTGTGGGACACCATGTAAGAAGTCTGTCTACCCAGAGGCTACCATGCCAGGGAGCTCACTTGAAGAAACAACAGAGAGAGGCCGGAAGACTGCCTAGAGGGACAGATTGGTGGAGATGCCCAAGGAGCCTCCAGTCATTTGGGTCATCCCATCTGAGGCCTCTGACTTTGCCTGGAGTAGATAGGAAATATCCTGCCAAGCCCTGTCCGGACTGCCAGGTCAGGAGCAAAAGAAATGATTGTTGCTGTTTTCAGCCACTAAGTTTTGGGGGTAGTTTGTTACATGGCATAGATAGCCACAACACGAATAGATGTGCAAAGATCAATTGCGAATTAAGTAATAAGATCTAACGGGAGGCCTGGTAAATATGACTCTGAACTCGTGATGAGTGCAATCAGTATGTTGAGATATCAGCATCAACTGTAATAGAACGTGAAAATTCCGTGCTTTCGAATGGTGTCAGTCATTGGTGCTGCTAAAACAATTGTATTTCACCACACTTCTTCCAAGTCCCAGCGAGTTAGAGTGCAGCCGTGTCCCGACTCCAGCAGCCTCTTCAGCTCGCCATGGATCCAACTGCTCCCGCACCGCTGGTGACTCCTGCGCCTGCGCCGACTCCCGCAAGTGCAAAGAGTGCAGATGCCCCTCCTGCAAGAAAAGTTGCTGTTTCTGCTGCCCTGTGGGCTGTGCCAAGTGTGCCCAGGGCTGCATCTGCAAAGGGGCGTCAGATAAGTGCAGCTGCTGTGCCTGATGCGGGGACACCGCTGTTCCCAGATGTAAATAACGCGACATCTACAAACCTGGATTTTTTTAAATATACGACACTGACCTTCCTTTTTCTATGAAATAATGTGAGTGATAATTAAACAGCTTTGACTTGAAAAAAAAAAAAAGATCGTATTTGTTGCTTACATGCATGACCAAGGGAAATGCAGAATTGCAATTCAAGGTGAATGAAAAGAAAAATACCAATATTTCCGACCCAAATTCACAAGTCCCCAAAATTCTACCGGCAGATCACAAGTTAAGAAGTCCTATTGGGCCGCACACTGTAACACATATGTAATCCCAGCACTTTGGGACACCGAGGCAGGTGGATCGCCTGAGGTCAGGAGTTTGCAACCAGCCTGTCTAACATGGTGAAATCCTGTCTCTACTAAATACAAAAAAATTAGCCAGGCATGGAGGTGCATGCCTGTAATCTGAGCTACTTGGGAGGCTGAGACAGGAGAACCACTTGTACCTGGGAGGTGGAGGTTGCAGCAAGCCGAGATAGTGTCATGGTGTGATCTCCAGCCTGGGCAACAAGAGCAAAACTGTCTAAAAAAAAAAAAAAAAGCCCTATTTTACACAAAAATCAGGGCATCCCTTTGATGACTGATTCTGTCCTTAAGAATTCAGTGAAGCTGCCTTTATAGGTAACTGAACAGACCCTATGTTTTTGTGTAACTAGAAGCTTTAAAAATACCCCATCTTTCATGCTCCTCCTTGCTCCCTGACATTCTTTCGAAGCTTCTATAGCTCCTCTTGCAGTTCCTTCGTGTTCTCTGCTCCTCTCCAGCCCCATTGCCCAGCGGGCCATGGCCCCCTGCCTCTGGCCTGGACCTCACTTTGGGAGGTTCTCTCAGCCTTCAGTCCTGCCTGGTGCTACTCGCCACCCACCCCACTGCTTGAGCTTGGCATTTTTTTTTTTTTTTTTTTTTTTTTTTTGAGACAGAGTATCACTCTGTCACCCAGGCTGTAGTGCAATGGCACAATCTCAGCTCACTGCAACCTCTGCCTCCCGGGTTCAAGCAATTCTCCTGCCTCAGCCTTCTGAGTAGCTGGGACTACAGGTGCGTACCACCACATTTGGCTAATTTTTATGCTTTTAGTAGAGACGGCATTTCACCATGTTGGCCAGGCTGGTCTCGATCTCCTGACCACAAGTGATCTGCCTGCCTCAGCCTCCCAAAGTGCTGGGATTATAGACATCAGCCACTGCGCTGGGCCATCAGGGGAGCTTTTGAGAATGCAAATGTCACTCTGTCCCCTCCAGCTTTGACTCCCGAGCAGACACTGGTAAGCATGGGGAAGGAGCAGCTGCTCTGACAGCGCATGCTCGAGGCTGGCCCCTCTGTCTTGGCCACTGTTAGTTTGCAACTCTTCCCTTGCAGTTCCCAGGGCTCAGGCTGTTTCTGGCCTCTCTGGTTTTGCTTTTGCGCTTCCCCTCTCTCTGAAAACCTTCCCTCGTCCATCCCCAAGGCTAAGGTGGACTTACCTGTGAAGACAAGGCTTACCTCACCGCCTCCAGAAAGCTTTTCCCATGCTCTCCACACTCACCACTCCTTCCTCACTAGCCCACCCACTCCATTGAAGAGCGGACTTTTATTATTTTTATTATTGTAACACGTTTTGTTGAAGTACTGCACACGTACATAAAACTGCAAGTATTCTAAGTATATGGCTAAGTCTGGGCTTGGTGGCTCACACCTGTAATCCCAGCAATTTGGGAGGCCAAGGCCGGTGGATTGCTTGAGCTTAGTGGTTCAAGATCAGCCCTGGCAATATAGTGAGACCTAGTCTCTCTAAGAAAAAGAAAGTTTGAGAAAAATGTGGATGGCTCAATGGACTTTCATAAAGTAGAGACTTGCTGCAATTGTACAGTAGCCACACCCAGATGAAGGAACAGAACGTTCCCAGTGTCCAGAGGTGCTCTTCGGGCTGTCTCCCATCACTACACCCCTCCCCACAAAGGGCAACTGTTTTCCTGACTTGTAACTACATCGGTTAGCCTGGCCTTCCACACTTTACCTGCATGGAATCATGCAGCCTGTGCCCTTTTACATTTTACTTATTTATTTATTTTTGAGAAAAGATCTCACTCTGTCGCCCAGGCTGGAGTGCAGTGGCATGATTTTGGCTCACTGCAACCTCCGCCTCTCGGGTTCAAGCGATTCTTGTGCCTCGGCCTCCGGAGTAGCTGGGACTACAGGCCTGCGCAACCACCCCCGGCTGATTTT